CATGTACAACAGGATTAGAATAAGTAATGTCGAGATAATAGGGGTTTTTTTTAAAATTAATCTTAAGAAGATAAGTGTGCTTTTTTAAAGTATCTATTTATTACATTATTAAAGTATATAACAATATTAAGATAAAATTTATCATGAATATTAAAAAAAGTCTAATTTTAGGTATTGAATTACTTGACGGCAAGTAATGTTTAAGTTTGAGAGAATTTGATACATATGAAATATGTGACATGTGTATATGTGGATTATGCCGTTACTATGCATCTATTCATGCTTTTTTTGGATATATATATATATATTTTGTGACAAATCTTGCGGAACATTATATTCAAATATATATATATATATATATATATATAGTGTTATTTGTAGGACTCATGTTTAGAACCAAGACTCGAGCACTTGGGAGGATGAAATGGGCTAAGGCTTATTCAAGTGCACTGACCTCCCAGGACGGCACCTAGGCGCCAAGTGAAGCATTATGACATCACAATGCCAGCTTACTAGCATTTTCGCGCCTAGCTATAGCGCCACAGAGTCAGCATCTCTATCATTGTGAAGACCAATGCCCTAAAAAAAATTTGGAGTTACAAAACCCAACGCTCCACCTAGTGTCATCATGCTTACACCCAACACCGTAGACCCACAAGATCAACGCCAGTGCACTCCCACCGACTTTTGACAGTTTTTGTGCATGTCAAGCAATATGAAGGCTTAAATAATTCTTCTTCATTAGGGAAGGTTTGTGGACTTTGGGGGGACTTTAAAAAATCCTAAAACACAACCAAGGAGAAAAAGGGAAGTGCAAGTGCATGTAAAATTTAATTGCTTTATGTGAGAGTGTGATTGGGCCAAGTAAAGGATAAGATTTTGAAGGGAGATCAAATCTTGGAATAAGATTTCATCCATCTAGTTTTTAACTACCCTTGCGTTGTATACTGGGTTTAAGTTATGAATGCAAGTTATAAGTTTGTTTCAAATCATGCTTAACATTTAATCTACTCATTCTGTTGGATTGGTTTTCTTTAAACTCTAAATAAAACAATGTTATTATTTTAAACTTATGAATGGAGAAGTTGTCATTTGAACTACGAATCTTAATTTACATTCAAACAGGCCATTTAAATTGTTAAAATTAGTTGTAATTTAAGACTATTAAAAGAAGACTTGACGCACAACTAAATTAAATCATTCGAGTTTGTGGAATAGGAATATTGCTAGTATACTTTTGCAATCTTTACAAATATATGCAGCTCAACTTCATAAACTATGCTCACAATGCATGTTGGAAATGGAATCCACTATGAAAGGTAAATAGTAAGACATACAAAGAATGTCCACCTCAATTGGTTATATAAAGTCAATGAAAAAAGAATAATAAAGTGTACAGATAGATAGAAAAATGATTACCTATTACAAACACACACACATATTTAAATTCATGCGTCAACTAGATGATAATATGTTATCCTTACACTGTCTTCTTCATTAACTATCATAGATACTACTTCATCTTGATTTTTAAAACTTAATTAGTTTATAACTCAAGATAAATTTACACTTAATTTTATAACATGGTGGCTAACTCACCTCAAGCTTACTTCATGTACAATTAATTATTCATGGTGATGGTCACTAAATCTAAGTTTATTTAAGTTCAAGCTTATTATCTACCATGTCAAAGCGCCACACAAAGAGTTGTTTGCCTTGTATTGATACATCTCACAATAAGAAGTAACAAAAAGAAGATAGGAAGAGGAAAGAGAAGGAAAGTGGTGACATCTGAGAAAAAAATTCATTCATAAGTGCATGTAAGAGGGAGTTCTTTGACTTCTTCGAGAAGGAGATATATTATTATTTCTTATTCTAGTAAAAGAAGGCACTCATATTTAAAACAAATAATAGTTCTTATTCAAACATTTATTATGAAGAGGGGAATCAAGTATATATCTAAGGAAACAAAAATATCTTCTTTATATCTATTTGTCTTCATAGTAGTTTTTTCCCTCGACTAGATGATGTTGACTGAAAAAGTTATTAATTCATAGGAGAGATGTGATCTCCCCCTCCCTTCCTTTAATATTAGCATGTCTATCAGCCTGTTAGTCATCCAGGGTGTACCCCCACCCCCCAACACCCTTAAAATTTAAATAGAAATTCAAAACATTCAAGAAATTTGTACCCTAAAAAGTAAAGAGCAAATACATTCACCATTTATGACAATTTTTTAGGGTTACAAAATTAGAATTAAAAAGTCATATAGAGTGAACCTCTATAACATTCTCATATAAGCTCACACTAGTAAAGGTGTTGCTCGTGTTCTCTTTCCTGTGATTTTATCAGCAAACGACACTAACAAGTGACAATTACCATGAGAGCCATCTCACCAAGTGCATGGTTTGTTGCTAAGTAACACAAGTAAATTGCAGTCATAGCTCATCAGTTCTTCAAAGACTTTTCTTATTGAGGCTTGAAATATAGATTATACTTGATATAACTTAAGTATACTTGACACAACACAAATCACTTTATTAGCTAAGGTTAACTTAATCACGTCCCTTGAAAAAATATCCACCCTAAATCTATAAGATTCCTTTAGATCAAGCATCCCACGGCTGTTGACCAGGATGCTTCTATTGATAGACTGGTTCGACCATCTCCTCTGACTAAGTAGTTCAAGATCATAACAACCCGGAACAGTAAAACCATATGATCTTGATTGGGCGTGTCACCATTTCTCTTATTATGTGCTCTAAGTCAATAGCCATAAATTTAGTGAGTTTAAAAACTTTTTTGAGTTATTATATGTTGAGTATATGTGAACACCTGATGCTCTTAACAACTGGCCTTAATAAAAGTGTTTTCTTATTATCAAGTTGGGTAATTAACTATATAGGTTTGCTCCTATAGTAAATCTCAAACCATATCAAAAAGTCATTGTAAAATGAAGAAGGAATCCACGAGTAGTGCCTTATCTAAAGTTTAATATACATTCTTAAAATTTGATCTTGAACTTAGAACACAAAACTCTTCTTGAGAGTTCGGGACGCAAATTTTGAGAGACCACTAATTTGTATCAATATTTTTAATTTTTTATGAGAAATATATTTTTATATATCTATTTTAAAAGCTTATAGATTATTTTTTCAGCTTTTAGCTTAGGATGTAGGTTTTCTTAAGCTAAACCGCATAAATTTATGTTATTTTATATGGTGCTTAATCTCTTTTACATTTATTTTATGCTTTATTGTATATGCCATGAATTAAACACACCCACTCCTTACACATTTAAGTGTGAGAAAAAATTATTTGATGTTCAACCTCTAATTGGTTTCCCCAGAAAGTCATTATAATTGTTTGCTAGTGGCATATGATCATATATTTTTTTCATGTGAGTGGGTCCCTTTACATGAAGAACACATGAATGTTCTCATTGGTCCTAGGTGGAATATGCTTTTAATAGAAGTAAGGTGACAAAATCTTGATAAAATATTTTTTCATACCATTTGAAGGCCAACTATCCTATATGGGCCATTGAAGTATCAAAAAAAAAGTGCCAAGATAGTTCAATAACCAAAAGAAGTAATTGAAGAGGTAGAATTCAAAAGCATAGACACTAAGAAGTTTGAATCCATAGATGACTCATTGGGGAGGTTGAGCTCCATGTAGGTATCAACAAGGTCTCAGGAGATGACATTGACAAGCAAAGTTGATTGACATTGATAATCAGGTTTGTATTGACAAAAAAATCAATTAATGGAATAATGTGATGTTGTTGTTGATAAATATTCCTTAAATAAAGCATTTTGCTCCTCAACCTTTGCTATATATTAACAACTAAGATTGCTAAAACAAATAACATGGGACTAACAATCCTCCCTCATGTTGTAGACACTTGAAAACCTACTCACAAAAGAAGCATCACATTCCTCACTAAGCAAAAAAAAAATAGAGTGCCATTTCAAAACTCTTGAGGGAAATCAAATATGAATCAATTGAAAGATATCATGTTGACAAACAATGGTTTTCTTTGTATTTCATAGATTTGATTTCAAATAGCTATCAATCTAATACAAACTCTTGATTTTTCACATTCAACCTCGCAAAATGATAATTATGCATTTATTTATATTTAGCCCCAAAATTTGTCCAACATCATCTCATGTAAATTAAAATTTTCCAAAACCTTCCTTGTAAAAAGCAAAAAAAAAAAAGAACTTTAATGTAATTTTCCATTTAGAGCTTATTTTTATTTTTATTTTTACTGAAAATAAACTAATTATTACATTATTTTAACTCTTGATAGAAATTATTATAAAATTTATTATTTTGCAATTCTGAATTTCAACCAAATGAGCCTCTACAGCATTCTTAGTTGGAGTTGGTAATCAGATACATGTAAGTTGGATATTATCTAACTGTTAGCTGCTCAGCTTTGGTTCATCTACTTTCTCACTGTCATCACTTTCAATATCCAACTAATCTTTTCATGAAATTACAAACTTCAAAAATGTATTTTGCATCTTTTTCTCAATTCCTTTGCCTGAAACTATCTATTTCCCTTTTTACAAGTTAAAATGATGATTTTTTGATGCGGTTTGGAAGCTTTGGTTCAACCTCGTTCTGACCGGTTCAATCTCGGTTCTGAGCTTGGTCGATTGTTCGTTGAACCAATCAAGCCATGAACTGGTCGAACCAGCTGCTCCGGTCTTATTTTTAAAACCATGTGTTAGATATATAAATACATAGGAATTAGGTGGGTATATATGTAAATACTCCTAGTTCTTGTTTGTCAAACCCTATTGTGATAGCAAAGTTGAAATTCCAACGGCTAAACTTTTGTCCAATAATATCATTTGTTAGTTAACTGTCCTTGTAATCAACTCCTCAATACCAAATACACCAAATCCGAATAGAAAACAGCAAAAACTGAACTATATAAACTCCATGCAATCATCTGCTTGTAATTATCATCTTCTGCAAATCTCGTATTTGCAAAAATGTCCTCCCTCCCTTCCAACTTCCTTGTGGTTTTTACAGTGGTTCTTTCTTCCTGTGCTTCGTTAATGGCGCAGCTCAACCCTCACTACTATGATAAGTTGTGCCCGCAAGCACTGCCAACCATTAAAACGGTGGTCGAGAGAGCCGTTGCTCGCGAGCCGCGCATGGGGGCCTCTCTTCTTCGTCTTCATTTTCATGACTGCTTTGTTAACGTAAGCTTATGTATAACTCTTGTGCATGGGAATTTACATATCTAGCACATAACTCTTCGCATTTACATATATATCCCACACCTAAACTTTCATATTTACATATATGGCATTTTGATGCTTTGAACTTTGCATCAAAAGATTTATTTCACTTTTAAAAATTAGTAATATTGTTATTTTTTATGTGATATTAAAGATTCGATGGAGCTATATAATACATAAGAATTGTGTGTTGTGAATATAAATGCTTCTCTTTTTTTTTAGCAAATATTGCGTCCAGATGTCCACGCATTCGGACATCCGCACGTTGCTGTAGCCAATCACAGAGAGCCACATCATCAAACAGGTAGGGAGCGGGTGATGTGGCGCCCCGTTAGTGGCAGTCCAAAAGCTCAGAATGTCCAGACGCAATATTTTCTACCTTTTTTGGCGAATCAAAACTTTTCTGTCCTCAAGTAATATATACATGCCCCCTCCCAATTTAAAAAAAAAAAATGTATTCCAATTTTTACATATTAAAAGAGTGATAGATTTGATGTGATAACAGGAGAAAAACCAATAGGAGAAGAGAGAGCGGAGGGACATCGCTCTGTCCCTCCCCTCTCTCTCTCTTCCTATTAGTTTGGCTAGCTACAAGTACGTGCTACACGTCTAACATTTTCTCGTGATAATTATATGAATGATTTGTAACTTATAAATATAAAAAAATAAACTTTAGATGCCAGATATGCAAATGCACATGAAATGAGTGGTATCATATGAACTTAAGAAAAGACAAGTTTTGCATACATGACCCTCAACATTCTAATATATTTGCATGTCTAACACCTAAACTTTAATTGTTTATACACATGCATGCCACCTTATTAATACATGAAAACAATTTATTTTGTAATTTTGGTAAATTGCAGGGGTGTGATGGGTCAATTCTGCTGGACGATACGGCAACATTTACTGGAGAGAAAACTGCAGGGCCAAACAATAATTCTGTTAGAGGTTTTGATGTTGTTGATCAGATCAAAGCTGCTGTTGATAAAGCTTGTCATGGCAGCATCGTCTCATGCGCAGATATATTAGCCGTTGCTGCTCATGACTCCGTTGTTGCTGTGAGTCATCCTTAAAGAGAAAAATTTGCTTACATAATAATACGTACGTCAGGGAGATTGCAAGGAGGGTATTGGAGGTTATATCCACGTTATATCCCCTGTAACCTTCCTGTAACTTACAAATTTGAAACTAGTAAGTTTCATGCTTCTATTTTCATATATTTGTAAGTTACAGGTAGGTGACAGTGAGGTTACAGGGGGTATAACGTAGATATAACTCTCAGTACACTCCCTGTAATCTACATGACAAAAACAAGTCTATTGAGCGTCATATTTTCATTTAATTATAATGGATTAAGATTATTTTTTACACAACATGCCCAAAAGTTCGATTTATATGTAAATACAAAAATATTATATGGCATACATGTAAATCTTTCTTTTTTTTCACCAATAAAAAAGTTTCTTATTTTAGAAAAATAGGAATATGACATTTAGTGTTAATACAAATCAAATTACTTTAAATAATAAATATATGTTTGTATCATATTGTAAAACAATAAATATAAAATTACATTTTTAATTTGAAGATAAATTTGTTGGAATTTTTACATTTTAATCTCCCAGAAAATTAAATTTACCATTTTAACAGCCCAAAATTTCAATATAATATTTTAACAATTATTATTATTATTATTATTATTATTATTATTATTATTATTATTATTATTATTATTATTATTATTATTATTATAATCACTCTCTTAATGTTACTCTTGAAAGTTTTGAGTGGTTAAAAATCTAAATTTAAAATTTGAATTTTTAAAATATTATATTTAATATTATGGATTGTTGGCATTAGGGGTGTAAACGAGCCGGACATGAGCTGAGCCCAACTTGTGTTCGGCTCGTTTATATTTCGAGCTGAAAAAAGTGTGTTCGTGTTCGGCTCGTTAGCTTAGCGAGCTGAACACGAACCATTCACGAACAAAGAGTCATTTTGACAACCCTAATCACGTAACCATAAGATGTTAAGGATTGGGGTAAGATTTAAAACATCATTTGAATCTAATTTAATAATTTTTATTTTATTTTCTTCATTAATACTTTTAATTGATTATAAATCTTTATAGTCTTGTAGTCAATTAAATTTTTTAAAAATACTACTCATCAAAGATATATTTATAATTGATTAGTAGTATTTCGAGCCAAAACGAGCCGAACACGAACGAACAAATATTTATTCGTGTTGATCGTGTTCGACTTGTTAACTTAGCGAACGAGCCTAACATGAGCTTCTTAACAAGCCGAACACAAGCTGTTTGCGAACAACGAGCCGTCTTGACAGCCCTCCCTAGTTAGCATGCAAAAACCTCGCAAATTTAGTTGAGGCGAATATAGGAAATTTTGCTTAAGAGTAAAAATGCAAATAAATTGTTTTATTAGGAGGGGCTTGAAAATTATTAGATTGTTTTAATTAAGATGACTATAATACTAAAATTAGTGAAGTTAAACAAAAAAAAAATCTAATAATTTTAATATTTATTGTAACTAAAAAATCATATTATATATGCACTCATTTACATACATACCACACAATACTTATATATTTACATATCTAAAAATCAAAATCTACTTTTTACAATTATACCCCTCAAATGTTTCATAATCATAACACCTCTTTCAAAACTGTGCAGCTAGGTGGGCAACCATATAACGTTCAAGTAGGGAGAAGGGACGCCCTAACGGCTAGTAGAGCAACGGCTAACAAAAACATTCCCTCTCCTTTTTCAAATTTTCAAACTCTTCTCTCCAGCTTCCAATCCCACGGCCTCACTCTCAAAGACCTCATTCTCCTCTCAGCCTCCCACACCATTGGCTTCGCGAGATGCACCACCTTCCGAAGCCGAATATACAACGAGACGAAAGCCATTGATGCGAGCTTCGCCGCCTCCGTTCGAGCTAGATGCCCTCCGTCCGGCGGCGACAATAACCTCTTGCCCTTAGATCCGTCGGCGAAGGCCTTCGATACGGCGTATTTGAAGGATTTGATTAACAAGAAAGGGCTTCTTCACTCTGATCAGCAGCTGTTTAAGGGAGATGGAAGTTTAGGGGATGAGTTTGTGAAGTATTACAGTGAGCATGGTGTGGAATTTTGGAGAGATTTTGGTGTTTCGATGCTGAGGATGGGGAGCATAAGTCCTCTGACAGGGAGAAATGGAGAGATAAGGAAGAATTGCAGAAAGGTGAATTCTTAAGGGATTTTTGGGGTTTTAGGATTGGTGAACTTTGGTTATCATTGAGGAATTTGACTAGGATTCTAAGATGTTGTTAAACTAACTCATAAAGTAAGAGTTTTAGGTCTTTATGGTTTTTGTTGGTTGAGAAATCAGTGAAGTGCAATTTGTTTTATCTTTATTTGTTTAGTTTGGAATTTGGGTAGCACTATGGTTAGTGTATTTTAAGGGCATGTTTAGCTTAATTAGGATTTAGAAGATCCTTAAAGGATTTGGGGGATGTTTGGATGCAACTTGGATTAAAGTTAAATAGGACTTGGTAAATCTGGTAAATACGGATTTATCAATTAATCCAGAGGTATTAAATTCATAATTATGTTTGGTTAGAAGTTATTATTAAATGCAGTTAAATTCATCTGATGTGTTTGGCAAATTCGGGTGCAAGATTCTCCCTTAAATCCTTAAATCCTTAAATCCATCTCTATCTCTATCGTATTTACTAAATGTAGGATTAATGATACGGCGTCTAAAAATTTTAGATTTATGGGGTGTTGGATTTACATCCCCAGTTCTTTTTTTTTCTTTTTTCTTTTTTTATGTTTGACTTGATTTACATTAAATAGACATAAACTCTACCTTAAATCCTCCTACCAAGCAAACTTTTAGTGAACCTTGAGAGGATTAAAATTTGAAAATTATTTGATATCATAGTCACTACAAAAAAGAGTGCTAAAACTGACGGCCTAAACATACGTCGGAAAAAATACTCTATTTTATGACGACAAAACAATGGTGTATGAGATGAGTTATTTGTAACAGTATAATTATAGGACATGTCGTCACTTAGCAGCAATAATAATTTTTCTGAGACATATGATACCATCGGTTATAAGTAAATACTAACAGACGACCATATTTCGTCAGTTTTTTATGTACATGTCATTTGGCGGGTTGTTAACCAATGAGTTTTTTTTAATAAGCGATGGGAATTTTTGTTGGTAATAATGTTAGTTATCAATGGCTTAAAGTCATTTACAAGCCATCATAATGAATCCTTTATGCAGCCAAAATTGTGTCCCTTTTGGTCTTTCCCTTCCCTAACCCTCCTCCTCTCGGTCTCGCCTCGGTACCTTTATCCTAGCCTCTCCCGGTGACTCCACCACTTTGAAAACCCTATCTCTAGCGATTCCATGCTCCGACGACCGACTGCCACTTTCCTTCTATCCCATCAATGCTTCGCCTCTCACAACTCGCTGCTCACAGGTATGATAGGGTAATTTTAAAAAAAATGAAGTTTAAGTGTTAGATCTGTAAATACTTAGGTATTTAATGGAATGCATGCAAATTTCCTTTTCCTTTTCATTTATTTAGTAGATTGAATTTAGGATTTAGTGTTTAGCAACTAGAAGGATTGACTAAATATTTTCCTATTTCGGTTGGATTACATTAGGGATTGGCTTTAAGCACATATCTTTTTTTGCTTTAGGGGATGTCTGCAAATGGATTTAGAGTGAGATTTAAGCTAAATCTTGCAGACGGTCATTTTGGACAAGATGAAAGGTCAATTCTGATAAATTTGGATTTCACAGATTTCGGTCGTTAATCCTGTAAATCCTAAACTCCTCGAATCAGTGGATTTACAGGATTTACAGTGAGAGCGATTGTGATCACAGTGGATTTACGTAAAACTTTTCAAACAATTTTAATGGATTCACAATATTTAGAGGACTTCATTGTCAGACGGTTTTTTCATTCAGGATTTAGTATATTCGAATTTACATAACTTACTAAATCTTAATAACTTAAAATAAATCTGTTGCCAGACAACCCCTTAATTATGGATGCTCTTACTAGACATTTACAAGAGGATGTACCTTGGTGTATGTTTTTCAACGGTGATATTCTTCTTCTGGATAAGACTAGAGAAAGAGTTTAGAAAAAAAACTAAATTATAGTGGTTGACATTCGAGTCCAATGGCCTTCCTTTAAATAGATCTGTCGACACTATTTTTGGTGTGGAGTTTGCCCGTAAGAAGCTGTCGGTCATCGGAATTGAAATCCCATTGCCCGCTTCGGAAGGACGTTAAAAAAAATTTAGTTTTGAAAAAGATGAAGTCAAACTGACCCCATAATTTTCATAGTTTAAATAGAAGAGCACTTTACCTCAAATTCTGTATCTATCCCAAAGGATGAATACAAGAATTGAGGGTGAGGCTCGATCAAATAAACTAGAGAAAGTCATGACATCCGTTTGATCTGCGGAACCAATATATTGGCCGACAAATTCCCCTATTTAATATAAGGAATTAAATAGGGTTTATATT